CAGTGATTGCTGTTAGAAGCATATCATAGTAAAACTGAGAATTAGATGCACAAAAACCAATGACTGCTGTTAGCAGCCCATCATGGCGAGATGTTAGTAAGAACATGTGAAAAGCTCAGTATAGTGTGAGGCAGATGAACAATGTCTAAGACTGAATAGTTCTAGTTTTAGAGTCTGTGCAGGCACCAGTATCATAAACCGTGTGAGTGATCAGTAAAGTGTTTGGTTTATCTTTCTGTTAATAAAGAGTAGAACATTTTAACTATGGCCTGATTGCAATGCTTGTTCTAATCTATAGGGGTCAGTATTGGCATTTTGCCTAATGTATTACTATTGAATCATAATATTCTACTTATTGACTGCCAGACTGATTTCCATTGAGAGTTCAGTTTACCATTGTGTATTTTTCCTATTCAAACCATTGTGTTCATGCATCGCTTTTTTTTTTCAGAAAAGCCCCTCCTTAGTCAATTAGAACCTCCAAAAAAGCAATTGACAATAATCTGAGCAGCTCTAATCCACGTTTCAATTTAAGGGATTACACGCCCCCTATAGTGCAATTTAGAGAGCGAGAAACTTTTGAGCCAGTGCTTCCGTTGGCCGTGTACTTGTGGGGCCCCTAGGAGTTTATCCCCATTCAGATGACAGATTGACCAGGGGGGGGTGGTGGTGCCACCGCTAAAAGCTGTCTATAAAATGTTCATGCCAAATCAGTCCAAGAGTTTCAAAAAAAAGAAAAAAGAGTTCCAGGATTTTTCAAAAAAAGTCACTAGTTGGTTTGAGTGAACAGCGAGGATTGTGTTCCATTGTGTTCTAATTGAGAGGAATCTTTCAGAGGTCAGAGCCCAGTGTGTCCTGAGGGGGGTGTTGCTCTGCAGAATCTGGCCAGCAGAGTGCTGAGATTTGTAATGAGACAAGCCAGCTACCCTGTTTGCCCATTGTGCCGCGTAACAGCATGAGACACGCACCAGAGAACTGCTGTCTGCTGTTTGCTTGCTTGGCTCATGTGTGATATAAACAGTCTTATCCCTCCATGCTGTCATTTTTTAGCAGTGCTGATAATTAATTTGTAGAAATTGACCCATCAGCTGCTCCTGCAGCGTTTAGACAAATAGAGAATGTCTTGGATTCATTATGCTCCCAGAAAGGAAACTAGATTTCAATATAGCTTCATTTGTGTAGCTGTTTTTAGTAAAGGGGGATTTTTTTTCTCTAAATGCAGAATTTTCTTTCTCTCTTTGGGAGGTACTGACTGTAAGTTGGATTGAAATAGAGAAGAACTCTTGACAGATGGCAGATGTTCAAACCAGTGCACTGGTGAGCATCAGTACAACTATTTTGAGTAAGCCAGTTGCTGATATTTGTAGCTTGAAGGTCCCATATTCTACAATTTTTTGGTATTTAATTTTTAATAAATTTTGTGTGCTTTTATGTACCTAAAACATATCATATGAAAATGAATCATAATTCATTTTTACATTACCATTTTCCAACCTCTATCTTTTAGATTTAAACATTCTAGATTAAAAGAATAAAATGCAAAATTATTTTTCACAACATCACAAAAACAATTCAAAACAGGCTCTTTTTTCAGCCTAATTACCAAATGGACTGTATGGACTGGGGAGTGAATGGTGTTTTAAAACCTTTTAAACTTTAGCACTGTTTGGATACTACGTCAAACTATTTTCTTTAAAAATGTTAGGAAAATTCAGTTTTATATGATATGGGCCCTTCAGTAAAGTCCAGCTAGTTGACCTCAGTGTTATAACAGGTAGTTAAGTTTTATGGCTTTTATTTAATGAACTGCTGGGAAGAGGAAATGCAGAAGCTTATCGTCAGGGGTGTGTTAACTGAACCCTGCACTTATCACAAGAGGACACTATTCCACTTGGAATCTACTGCATTTGCTATTTGAAAAATAACAAAGTTGACACTTTGACCTGTGGCATTTCCAGTAAAATAGCATTTGACTCAAATTCAAATGCCCAATTACGCAATTGAGCTTTTTATTTGGCTTTGCTTAGCATGAGCTTATTGCCTATAGTGAGGTGAAAAATGAGTGGATCATCAAGATTACTCTTGGAAGCACATTTCAAGATGATCATGCTGAACTTTTGTGCACAAAGAACGGGATCCAGCTCTGTGGTGACTGGAGCTATTACGTAGATTAGAGTTGCATAACTACTGTCATTTAAATCATTGTTACTAACTGTTTATTTCTCAACATCTGAAACCTCAGTTTACCACCATGATTGCACATTCTCTTTAAATTTCACATTCCCTCTAAATACTTCTGTCTGTTTTTCTTTTAAAAAAAATAGTATTTTGTGTGCCAGATATTTGATGTAAGTTACTTTGATCCAAGTCAGATCAATGAGTTTAGCTCACCAATAAGAGCCAACCCTTTCATCTGTCAGACGACTCTTGATTCAGTTGCATTGTCAGTTTCTTGTTCCCAAAATTAGCTAAGTTAGCAATTTTGTCTGTCTTTTATTTTGCAACAATAACTTAGTCTACTTTCTAGATGATCAACAAAAATTGCATTATCTTTGTTATTTAAAAATATTAAGTCAGATAAGAAGTTGTCACAAGATTAATTCTGAGAGGCAGAGATCAAGATAGGTAGATGGGCAAAAATCTGTGAAAAATCTAAAAAAAGAACTAACAAATCACACTTAAAAACATTGGTTAAGAGTGATGTGAAAACTGTTGAGAACAACAATAGAGAAAAACTAGCACAATAAGCAACAGGTTTGGGAATAATAAGGGGACAAATGTTCCAAGGTGATCCAAAAGGGGGTCAAGCTACAGCATCATAAGATCCACCCGTTTGTTGTTAAATTGGCTCTTCAGTGCGTGTCTGCCCCCAGTGTTCATCTAAAAGGTCCATCAAATTCAAAGCCATGTATGCCTGAATGGCTGGTTCCATAGAACAGGTTCCAGCATCTGGTGGTGTGCAAGCGAGACATTTGCTAAGTGACCCGACACTGCTGCCTGAGTCACATGATCAGGCAGCATCTCAGACTCGCCCTGATTTTTCAGCTATGGCCGGAGCGGAATTCCAAAGCCTGACACCCCCTAATACCCCCATTCCTTCTGCCTGCTTAGCATTGCTCCTCAGTACATAATTAGCCACACTATTTTCAGTGAAGGGATTCCCAACTGCAAGTGCTTCTCTCTTCCACTGACGCCTTCTTCCTCTCTCATTTGCCATGACAGTTCCTTTTGTCCGGGCGATTTGTTGCCCAGAACTTTCCGATCTCCTTGCACTCCATTGAAGCAGACTCCATTCAATTCAAATGTGACATCCTGGACGCTTTTCTCGTTTTTCGTTAGCCCATACAAAAATCTGGGTGAGCGCTGCCAGCAGGCAAGCGGGGTTTCAGGCATTCAAGTCCACTTCAGGTTCTGACGGAAAGTGGTCCTGCAGCTCAGAAAGCGATACGTCAGCCCTGAATTGCGTTTCCGATTTGCTGGAAGGTGCTTGTCACTCACCCAGGGCTAGCATTCGTTAATGGCGTTGCATTATGAGCCAAGTTCAAGCTGTGAGCACAGAGCGTTGGGACTATGTGATTTCAGCTGGATACAGAGAGGCCCTTTCAGCACGTGAAAGGCTGTCTTAGGCCTAATAGGAGGGCCTATGAAGGCTAGTTGGCTTTCACAAAGCAGCAAGAACCTCAGTGTCAAGGACCCAACTCTTGTTCTTGGCAGCTTTTTGGGTTTTTATACGAGAGCTATGGCTCTGGAACTATGAGTGGTGTCGCCTTATCAAGTGGACATTTAGATGGCTCATTTTTTTTCCTTTTGTTCCTTCACTGCTTTTTCTTTCCTGGAACTCAATTTCAGGAAAGTTCTCAAGTCGAGGTAACTGAATGTCCCTTTCTGACCTGATATTTAGCCTTATAATTTACAGACATTGACCATGATAACAAAAGCATGTGGAAGTTATTGCTAATTATTTATCTCTTTGTAGTAATTTTTCTCACAAGCCAGAAATTCTCAAAAATGCAGATTCTGAACTTTCAGTGAATAGCGTAATTGTATTCATAAGTGGATTTTTATAATGACTTGAAATGATATAATGATATAATGACTTTTGCATTAAGAAAAATGTGTACATTTTTGTCATTTCCTGACATTGAAATGAATAGAAAAAGTCAGAAGTGGAACTTCTCAATGTAATTCATTACTTAAATTAGAATTCAGCAGATTGTTCAAAGGTTCTGCCTAATTAAATTGTTGATAAATCACTGTGTGTTTTGATGTGAAATAGGTCTTTGTAGAGAAACTTATAGACTCAGATTTCTTTACAGTGGTAGAGACCAGGGGTTACGGTATCTACACTGCAAAAATAGTCATTATATTTACTGTCCAAAACCACCAGTGAACCTAAACGTGTCTTCTGAGTTTTTACATGTAATGTAAATAATGGTAAAATACGACAGGTGGCATATTTATACCCGTATAATGTAACAGCTTTCTGCAAGGTACCTTTTAGAGGGATTAAACACTTCAGACGTCTGGTTCCTATCACAACCACTGTGAACGATTCTGACTTGGTAAGATTTTCAAGACTGTCAAACCACTCTGAATAAATTTGTTTAAATCTTAACAATTTAATTATGCAAAAATGTGAATTCCTCTTTAGCTAACTACATTTGAATATAGTATCGAATTTACACTAGTAACTCTAGACTAACTCTAGAGTTACTCTAGACTAAACTCTAGAGTTTATTGTTCAAAATATAAAGATTCCTAATGATAAGTGTTGAAATACAGGTTGAGTCAGCTGAGCTGGTCTTGAGTCACCAATTGCTAAGACAAAAACCAAAAGCAAGTTGCGAAATCTAATTTGTTCTTCCGTTCTGTGTACCTAAACCACCAAGAGTAATAACACGCACCCCTTCTCTCCCTCCTTCTCTCCCTCCTTCTCTCCCCCCGCCTGCTGTCAGCAAGGGGTGGGCGGGGGCTGATGCAGATTACGGCAGAGGCAGTAATACACCAGCGTGTCAGATACACACTCTACTCTCCCTCTCACACACACAGCGATCGAGGAGCGGGAGCGGGAACTCTGCGTTCACCACGGAACACAGCTTTGTAAATGCTGGATAATACACTGGCAACTCATTGTGACCTTAAAGGAATTCATTACTCTGGTTTCTTCAGCAAAAAAGGATTTTTTTGTTTGTTTTCTCCTTCTGTCCCTCTTCTGCTGTGAAGGTTGTGCCGGAACACTGTGGAACGCTGCCTGGAAGAGAGTGAGTACTCAGAGCTGCTGCACATCTAGTGCTCTAGTGCTTCATTAACTGACAGCTGTTAATGATTGATCCTGGGCTGCAGGGTGTTTGCTTAATGTTTAAAAAAAGGTGAGGCGGGGGGGTTTACAATGCTGTCCCTCTCCTGTTACGACGTGCAGTGGAAGTGGCATAGCTCCGGCTGTGCAGAGTTTGTTATTACATCCCCCTTTAAGCCTGGGGGAGGGAGTGAAGTGGACAGGGGGAGGGGGCAGCTCTGACATGAGACAGCCCCTCCACAGCAAAACCTTATCTGCAAGGTGATAGGATCACAGGGCAGTGAGGTTGAGTAGCTTCTGTTTGAGTGAGCAAATTGTGTTTGTTTTCCATACATTTTCAGGACAGACTGTAGTAGGAAGAAAACTAGGGGTATTATTTCTTACTAAGGTTAAAAATACTTCAGGGTTTTTCAACCTAATCTCTGTGTGCTGCATCTTTAGTATACAGTTAATTTCCACAGACAGTAACTTTAATACAAACTCAGTAGTTCCTGTGCTTAGTAGAAAAACAGAAAATACGCTGACTCAAAACACATTTATAATAGAAGTCTATGGGCATTTGCTTCAGTACTTTAGAGGTGTTTATAGAGTGGGGTGCAAAAGTCTGAGAAAATGTGGGAATCTTTTTTTTTTCCATTTAAACCTGCAAAGAAGCAACAAAAAGTTTACAATTTTGAAACATTTTAACATGAGAAAAGTTAAATGAAGAAGAAATTGTTTAGAATTCTTCACTATTTCTAGGTCACAGCTGTAATTTAAGAAAATTTGTGAGACTGACCATGTTAAAGCCTTAACAAAAAGGTCAGATTTTGTTTTTAGTCTTATCCTCTCAACTGAAGAGTGTTCAGATGACTCTCAGGTAGATTTGTTCTGCTTTTCAGAGGGTTTTGCACCAACTTATGGAGTCCATGGCAGCTTGAGTGCACACCAAAAAAAGCAAAATCAAATACCAAGAAATTCTGAAATTCGTTAAAATTTCAAAGATTTCACTTTTCACCCACATTGTAATGTGGTTATTTTTAATTTGTACTTTGTAATTTAAAAAATTGTATTAAATAAGAAAAGAATGGTAAATAGAGCCCTGAAATTGTAGAAAAATAAACCTGTGTAGGGAAAGGTGGGGGTGGGTGGGGGTTGGGTGTCTGTAGTAGCGTAGTAGCTCAATATCTGATGTGAGAAAGTAGCAATTTAGCAGGGTGTGTTGGAGTTTACACTGGCTCGTCGATGGTAAAGAAGTGGTTTTACTGCCAGAGATGGAGCTGTCTTTTGCTTACTGAACTATCTCACACACACACACACACACACACACACGGCTCCCTCTCTGACTGGGTCCTGAGCCAGCAGACAGGAGCGAATGTGGCAGCCAGTGCACTCCACTTCACTCTAAACGCTGAGGAACTTTCCATGAACTCGTGAGGCCAGTGTGGCTTTCCAAACGAGGGGAAAGAACCAGGAGCTGAGAGAGGTTTTTGTCTTTAAACTGCTGTGATCTTGCTTTTCTTCACGCAGTCATGAAGTCTGCAGTCTGACTGTTGTCAGAGTGCAGAGGGTTAAGCCACCACAGGATGTCTCTATGTCTGTGTGTTGGTGGGATATGTAGACTGAGGTGGGGAGAGTAGACTAAACCCATACTGAAATAAAAATACTGTCACTTCAGTGAAATATTGAACTAAAAGTAGCCTAGCAAAGACCAACTAGTAATAAAAAAGTATCAGGTCAAAAATGCTGGAGTTGTATATAGAACTGCAGTAGAACTTCCTAATTTAAGCATCTGTCAGCTTAGAAACTGAAATTTGTAAGGTGCTGTTTTTCTCATTTAGGGATCATTTGGGTCTAAAATAAAATCCTAAAGGTTTTAACTAGGTATGCACTGATAAGGTCATGAATATGTCTGTTCCGATGCAGATACATAAACATACAGACTACCTCAACCTTTATTAGCATTACGGGGAAATATTTATTCTGTAGGCTTCCAAAAGTAGTAAAGTGAATGAAATGAAGACATTTTTGTGAAACAGTCCGGCAAAAATGCATCATAAAACAAGTCATACGTCATTAAACAATTAAATTGAAACATCTGTCTGATACTGATTACATTTCTTAGGCAGTTATCTACCGATACTGATATTATCCCAGTGTCATCATTGAGCCCTAGTTTTAACAGAATGAAATCATACACACAGAGAGAGGCAGTAACTCAATGTGAAAGGCTAAAATAGAGTTGAGTAAATATTAGATATTTCCTCAGAAGTATACTTGAACAGAAGTGCATGTATTATCAGGCTTGTGAACAGGTTTGTTTGTGATTCATCAGCAGAAAAAGAGTTCTTTTACTGCAAGGTCACCAAGTTTTCCCTAAGTTTGTGGGTTTGTCTTTCCAGTAAACAGGACATTTGAAGATCGCTGGAATGGATTTCTTTGGACAATATTTTTTTGTTGTTTTTTCCCCTCTCAGAACTTTACTCACAACTCATGACATTCATGAGTTTCAGTTTGCACATTAGCTTGGACCTGTGGGTTTCTCCTGGTACCTTTTCCTGGTAGTTTCTATTTAGACAGCTGTTCAGTGATGACTGTTCCAGTCAGTAGTAGTCTGTACCACATGCTAAAGTGGATGCTATTCTCATCACAAGATGAGGAAAACTTTCACAAGGATCAGAGGAACGGTGCTGAAAGGGGGGGCCAAGCATCTTCATTTGAAAAGAAGGTGAGAAGACAGAGAGAAAAAGAGGAGAGGTTAACACAGCAGGGGTGAGCATAGGAAGGTAAGCGGAAACAAGACCAGAGGGAGCGGGACAGAGAAAGAGAGCGTGCTGACAGCCTCATCCGTGTGTTTTCCTTGAGCTTGATCCGTAAAAACAACAGCTGGCAATAGCATTGTGGGTACAGGAGCCCCCACAATGCTCTGGCCTGTGTGAGGCTGTCAGAAAGGGTTTGGCTGGTTGGTAAAAGATGGTGCCTGTTCTGTCAATAGCATACGGCTGCGGCTGCAGCTGATCCCCATCATGCACAATATGCTCCCACCACTGCCACATGAGAGAATCTGTAGAGTCAAGAACAAACTTGTGCAACAGATAAAAGAGTGACGCTAATGTAAAACCGGCTAACGCTTAATAAGCTGCCCGCATCAGAGCTGCAACCGAAGCAGACCTTTCAGTGAGGTCACATTACTCAAGTAAAGAGAAATGAAACAAATCCACATTCACAAATATATCTTAGAAACATATTGGTACCCCTACAAAATTTGGGTGCATATTTGTCTTAAATTTTTTTTCTTCTGAGGTCCACTTATGATGTTTGTGTAGTTTTATGTACCAACAATAGTCATAATTCATTTTGACCACTGTCCAACATCTCTCTATCCCCTGGAATTCCACAGACTGTTTTTCTAACTGCACTTTTAGGACAAATATACAGTCTTACGCAATATACGGTCCAGGCGCCCCGTAAATTAGATGTTGTGTTGATTTTTCTAAGTGAAAATAAGTTCATGTCCTCTGCAGAGAACACACGTCTGCACATTTTAATTCACAGTTGCTGTTTATCTGCAAAATTTAACATGTTGGGAAAGTATTTAAAGGTGAAAGTTGTGGCGTGTTTTGTTTTTTTTTCCGATATGTAAAACTCAACAAATAAAGAGACATTGCGCACTAAAATTTGCAGAGAAATAATACATTTAAGTGTGCTCCCTGTAGAAGATATGTTCACATATTGTCACTTAGAAAACCAACAAAACATGTAATTTGACTGTATGTTAATTATCTCTGTTGTGCCTCGTTCAAAGTGTAGTCTGGTCTAGAACATTCCTTATAACTTCAACATGAGTAGGCGGGGCTAAACTGCTGCTGAAACGCTGGATATATGAAATTGTGTTTGTTTTCTTGACATCACAAAAACAATAGATTCAGAATGAGCTGTTTTTGCAGCGTTGTTGTATATATGGACTGGGGAAACTCTATAAACCAAATGTTTATATACTACATCAATGTATTTAAAAAAGAGGACCTTTGTATAATATAGGCTTTTTAATAAAAAACTAGCCGTAATCCATCTTTTTAAGCACAACTGATTTTAATAATTGAATATAAATGGAAAAATGTTTGAAAAAATTGAAAAATACAAAGCTAAATAGTGGATATATTGGCACAACAGCACTCATCCACCTTTGAAAGTTTATTTAAAAGAGTCCAGGTCTAAAGAAAGAGAGTAACATAGTAAATATGGAAGGCAGGATAGACATTTTGAAGCATGGACTCCTATATATGTTTGCATTACCAGCCTTTGCACATCAGTGGCTGTGGTACACAGTGGGCTTAGCTTTATCTCTGGTTAGCATCTTTACGCTGCGTGAATCTCCCTGGTTCCTGGCCTCTCTACCCACTGTTTCCCCTCCCGACCTCCATCTCCCCCAGGATGTTTTTCCAGCTTCACGTCTTTTAGTGTGCCTTCTATTTACCTGCCTTTCCTTGCATTGGCTATGACAGATATTAAAATCAGATCAGAAAATTAGGTCACTTTATCAGGGCTGGTCGTGAAGATCCAAGAATGTAAATAAGCCTCGGTCTTCCTGCTCCTTTGCTCCCTCAGGCAAGAGCTCTGACTTTGCTCTGTATTGCAACACCCTCTCATAGGATCAACACACTCTGTGGCGCTGAAGTTGTTAACTGCTGACAGCTGTGATTACTATCTGTCTCCAGTACGTGAGGCTGCCGTGACCACAACCTCCCAAGTCATGTTTGCTTTGTAAGTTTGCTGCACATACTGACATTGCACTGATCGGTGCTCTAGGCTAGATAAAGCATAGTGTTATTGACAAGGGCCTGTATTTATCAAGCATCTCAGAATAAAACACTGATATAAGATCGGCTCTTGTCAAATAATGAAATCTGTTCAGTGCTGTGTAAAAGTAGTCTTAGAGGGATCACATGTCTTGAGTTCTGCAAGGATGTCTGTAGACAAGAAATT